GAGAACTACCCATACACATTCCGCACCTCAAGCCCTGCTTCACGTGCCACCAGAGCGTAGGACCCACCCCGTCTCTCCGAGGCCACGGCAAGCCCTCGCAGTTCAGGGTATGCAAAGCGTAGAGCATCACAAAGCCTCAGGGCTTGAAAAATCCGGAGCGGAGCTTTGTGCTTTCCATGGTTGCTCATAACGGACACAAAAACCCGCTTCGAAGCTCTGAAGACTTCCGAAGCTAAGCTTGAAGCCCGACAGGCTCAACAAAAAGGCTTCATGTTCCCAGGTCTCGGAACCTCCAACAAGTGCTCCAAACTCAAAAGATGCTGAGGATAGGGCCTCTTCGAGGAATTAGCCACTCCTCGATCCGTCGCAGGGCGCTTTTCATGTCGAAGCCCCGCACTGACGGAAGGCCGTAGTAGCCAACCTCGGCTGCGAGGGAGGTGAAGGGAGAGGAAAGTTCATTTCTGGTCCATGCCTCTGGCCTGCAGGTGTCCAAAGCATTTCCACAGAGTCGGAACGTCTTCGTGAGTTCTGGCTCTACACCTCCAAAATGCTTGTTTGTGCGGAACTATGCTCAGGCGGCGAGTTCTGTCTCGAAGGCTTGAGAGATATTGTTGGGATGACCAGAGCAGCTTTTCCTTCGGCTCATGCTGTGGGGATAATAACAACAGGGGCGATGCTTTTCCAGCTACACGCCCTGTCAGCCACACCCACTTGCACAACTCTCGCGTGCGCACATCCTGCAGACCCTATTAACAGTTGAGCTTTCACGCTTTGCGTCAGCTTTCCCCGCTGCGTAACTGTTTCGAGCTGCAGCCGACGTAGTAGAGGCCCGATTAAGCTTGGGATCTTCTGTTCATAGCTGCGCAATACATGCCAATATTAGCCCCCACTGTTTGCAGCCATGAAGCATCGATGTACATAACATCCTTGTCTTTGGAGTGTGGATGGTGTATGGAGACAACCTCGTGGTGCTTGTTCAGGTAGGGACATAGCCATATGGGATACACACCTGTGCGCAAGTGCCGGTGGCTCCCAAGTTCTGTAGCTCACATCCGATCTGAAAAGCATGAAGTTCAGAATCGCCTTGTCATCCCTTTCACACTAAGGGTTAAACGCGGGCCAATACGCATTGCAGGCTGATGGAATGGGAGGCAGTTTCCCCATAATCTCCATATGTCGCCATGATGATGCCATTATGTTTCCACAGGAGCAACGGGGCCGTCTCATTGTAAACAGAACCGGGGTGGATACAGGTCCTACAAACATCGCAAGGTCGGCGAGAGCATGTCGTTTACGATGTTTGAGGCTGAGGTCTGCTGGCCTAGGCATCGGAGCTGCGTCTACAGTTGTTAGTGCACAACGGGCCCACCACGGGATCACACTTTAACAAAGGGATCCTTGATCAGTAGGCATTGAAAATTAAAACCCTACACCCTCAAGTCTTCCGCAGACTTCCCAATTTCATTCATGCGTCAAACAACATCTTCCTGCTCTCCACTGCAAAGCCCGGACACTCAAACCATGAAGCACCAAGCAGGCACAAAGTCTCCAATGAAGCTCGAAAGCTCAACAACCTCAAAACTCACAGGCCTCCGGTAGAGTCTCTGAACCCTTTAAACTCGAGGGCCCTTAAGCTCCAGCTCCAAAACCCCGTCCAGACTCGGATTGCCTAGAGCTTCGTCGCCCAAGTCGAGCATGGGCTTCAGCTCGGTAATTGGGACCAAGTAATCCTTCATCCATGTCGATGCACATGTACATGTGCACAAAATGTATATGTATATGTGTATGTATGTATGTATGTATGTATGTATGTATGTATGTATGTATATATGTATGTATGTATGTATGTACGTATGTCTGTGCATGTCTGTGTATGCCTGTGTATGTATGTGTATGTATGTGTATGTGTATGTATGTATATGTAGGTGTATGTATGTATGTATGTATATATCTACATGTGCATTTATGGTCTCTCTGTGCTTGTGTTTGCGTGTGTGTGCACGCCTGTTGCGTTTTACTGCGACTGCGAATAACACCGCATACATGCACGCATGCATGCATGCATGCATGCATGCACGCAAATGTACGTCCGTCTATCCATCCATCCATACATATACATACCTACACACATATGTATGTACATGCATGCATGCAGACATAAACATTAGAAGGCGGCAAGTGCCGGCGCAAGACAACACAGAACTCCGATCTTGAGTCACGCTTGTCCCCACACAATCTCGGTCGGGAAAGACAGCAAATCGGATTCGGGGTGTCAGGCCTGGTGTAGCCTATGACGTGGACGTTTTGCATCCCAATCGCAACCACTCTAAATTCTGGAATCTGTGAGCTGCATGTCGCCCAGGACAAGCCCGAGCTCTCCTGGATGACATTGACATCACAGTAGTACCTGCCACAAAGTAACGAAGACTGCTGGTCTTTGGCTTTGAAGTCGAAAAAGCCGGCAAGTGACCGTCAACATCCATCAACGATTCAGTGTCTTCGTCCCATGCAAATATTGGTGAAGCTCGGCTTTGGCAAGCCTGCAGCGATGCGTTTCGAAGTTCGACACTGCCATGTCAGGCCGGTGCCTTCAAGTGAACATGGATTATTGAACATTGAATACTGCACTTGGTGCCATCCTTCCCGAGCCGACCTCATGGTGAACTCGGGCTGATATGACTTCACCTGGGATTCTGAACTTAGCTTTCCGGCTTTGGCTTTGACGTGCTTCGGAGCTCTTTTGGGCATGGGGGGAAATTTTGGCTCCCTAAGCAGAAAAGGCAGCCTCTCGGCAACGTCAACAATGTCAACACAGACCCAGCCCTGCATTTATGAGGCCCAACCCTAACCCCCAAATCGCAAAGAAAGCTCAACTATGTGCCACAGGACTTGGCGCGTTACGGAGCACACTCCCCAAGCTACGGGGGCCAGCTTAAAGTTACGCGAAGTGTCTGGCTCAAATTCTTTGTCTTCCCGCGGGTTTTGAAGCATGTTTTGGGGCAATGCAGTTGGGGAAATCTCTGCCTTCCGCCGAAACTCATTTTGCCGAGTGGCCAAGGCGATATTCAAGGGATTGACCCAGCCCAGCAGATAGCGGAACAGCGGTGTGTTCCCCCAGGGCTGGAGATAAGACCTTGTGGGGACAAGCGTGGCTGCGGGGTGTACTTGGGTGAATCAAGTGACTTGACAAGCAGGCTACAAACACGGTCGAATCGTCAACTCAACAATATACATATATGTATGTGAATATAGGCCTCATTCTTGGGCATGTAACAGATTTACATATTGCTTTACCATAGTACCTCAGACTTGGCATCATAAAAATCTACATATCTGGGCACATGTCGACATGCAGAACCAATAATGAAACTGGTCAGCACACCAATAAGTTGCAGCGAAAATCTATCTTTGGCGCGCCTGAGATGGGTCTGATTTCTGAGCATCGGGCAGCTCCCAAAAGATGCCTCAATGAGAGCCCAAAGAAAGGTTCACAGTCCAGGGCTTCAGAGGCGGCATCCGGGGCTTGGATCGCTGTTCTACACAAGATTTAGAGGGGCTTATTTATGAAGCTCTTTCAGGGGACTCTAGGGCTTTTGGGTTCGTCGGCGGGGTACGGGGTTCGGAACCAGGGCAAATCTTAGGAGCCCTAACAAGGGTGAACGCAACCATTCCGACCCCCAGTGCTCCTGAAGTAGACAAGTTTAAGCAGAGCCACATCACATCTACCTCGTTAGTTGTGGATTACGGGTGCTTGCGCCGTCGTCTTGAATTTGGGGTGGATCTTCGGCTGGGTCAAGGACAGCTGCCACATGAGGCGTTGTGCTGCACACATGTCCGGCCCTGACTTTGGCGCTTGGTTTAGGGTTGCAGACTCTCCCTTGCTACTTAGTCGCACCTACAGGACGCAACACCGGCAGATTCGATTTCCGTGGACAGCCAACTCACTCAAGTCTGCGAGATCAGAATTCCTGCGTCAACGGCACCAGAAACATGATAACGATTCTGCAAGTTCAGCGTCACTCGCAAACCTACAATCCCGATACCGTACTAACCCTTCCTTTTCCTTCAGAACTACCCATGTGCCCTGGCCATGAACACGCTGTGCTTGATCCAAGAGGCTTTTGGAGTGCCGGTGCAAGTATTCGTCCGTGCCTCGGCGCTGACTTTCAACCCCGTGGGGGGCCATGAGCACCAGCATTGCGTGGACACTCCAAAAGAGGATGTTGAGTTGGGGTCTCAGGGCAGCTCACTCTCTTCAACCTTTCACTTCAACAGAACTTGCAGAACTCTATTCCACAGATCGCCAGCAGTCAATATTATAAGCTGGAGGGCCGGACAAATTCAAGAATCCAGGTGAAGCTGACCCTAAGTAGTTGGATCCTTTATCTGTCTATCTACCTAACTATCGTTCGATCGATCGATCGATCTATCTATCTATCTTACTGTCGATACTATCGATCCGTGTGTCTATCTATCTGTCAATCAGTCTATCGGTGTGTCATCTGTCTATCTATCTATCTACCTACCTACCTATCTACCTGTCTACCTACCTACCTGCCTACCTGCCTGCCTGCCTACCTACCTACCTATCTGTCTATCTATCTAACATGTATATGTGTGTATGTATGTATGTATGTATGTATGTATGTATGCATGTATATATATATAGGTATATGTACAAAACGCACAACTCTATATCTCTAGTGCAGTGTGCATAGATTACACATAAACATATGTATGTATGTATGTATGTATGTATGTACGTATGTACGTTTGCATGCATGCATGTGTGTGTGTGTAAATATGAACAAAACGCAAAGCAGCAAGTAAATAACTCAACACATGTATATATATATATGTATGTGTATATATATATATATGTATAGAGAGAGAGAGAGAGAGAGAGATTGATATAGGTAGAATGTTACGACTCTACACATGCATGTTTATGAAGATTTCTGAAGCAGGGCAGACCTAGAGCAAACGTCTGAGCCCTCCACGCATGTAGACCTGACCTTGGCCGGGACTTAGAAGGGGCGGGACATAATGCAGGGGCCTTAGTAATTCGAATAAGGGTTCGGGCTCCTTTCTCATACAATTATTGTAATGAGCTCTATTATGGCTTCTACATTGGTGTTATAGAGTTCCCAAGTGAAGTGTGCGAGAATGCCTATGCCCCAAACCCATTCAATATGTTAAGGTCCGTACATTACCTGCTTATCTTCCGTGGGGGCTCAGTGATGCTACAATGTTTTGGTGCCAGGGCTTAGATGTTTCAGGTACCAACTTTTTGCGTGGAATCTGGCTGTGCGGGGGATGTGCTGTGCTCTGCTCGGATGAATGACTAATCACTGTTCACTTTTTCGGACTCGTAGATCTCTCATGCAGATTTGAAAGCTTCAAAGTAGCAAATGTCCCTCTGAACGCGGCAGACTTGGAAGCAGTTAGCTGATCGAACATGCTGATGCCACGAGTACAACTTCCGAAGGAGCTCTTGGCATAATCCCGGAACTCGGAACCATTCCATGCCAAGCAGCCATTCTTCAGCTCTTCGACCTGCTCCGACTTAGACTTAAGGAGTGGGCAGGTTTATTTTAGGCAACACTGCACAACAGGATTATTATGTAATACACTGATGATATACCATCGTCAAGAGAGTAGGTAGTCATATAACATGCGATGGCATCATCAGGCCACAGGTATGCGTATACACATACATATATGAATATATGCGCACACAGACAGCGAGTTGTGGCTGTATCCAGCCAGTTTACGTGCAGGAAATCATGATGAAACATTATGTTCGTAGTCAGAGCGAACGAAGACATGCAAAGCATGCTCCCAAGCCTAGCTGAGTTACATTCGGTGCGATAGGACCACCGACCAAACCGATGCGAGATGTTGACATGTTCGGAGACCAAGGCATTTTCTCATAGAAGGCCCCGTGACTTTTTGGCAGAGGCAGTTGCCCAAGGCTGTCCATCGTGAGCCTGGAATTCACTCCTTTCAAGCCCCGAGTCCTGTGTTGCATGATCTTCTTTGTTACGACTGTTCTCACGAGTAAGTGTGTTATGAGCTGTGGTGTTCGATTTCTCTGAACATGTTTATTGTCATAGGACCCGTGATCCAGGCTCCTATCTTATGGTCATCGCAAGTCTCCCGAATGAACGCAGGGATCCACTTAACTTCGCCTGCTTGAAGAACCACCGGTCATACCAACGGCCCAGTGAAAGCACCGGGCTGTCGCCTTTCGGAGCGTCCTGAGCGAGGGTTTCAGATGCAGGGAGCTTGGACAAGTGCGAGGCAGTCAGTTTCGGGCTCTCACTTTCGGTCCTTTTGATCGGTTTTTGGGCACTCCCGAAGCCCTAACACTAAACCTCTCCAACATGGACTCCCAAAGTAGTCCCTCTACGGGCCCTTTAGCTTGAAGTGCGCACCTTTCACCCTGAATCGCTGCAAGTCCGCCAAAATGCAGCCGAGCAGCCGCAAAGGAGCCCTTCATGACCTGACAAGCTTAGGGTCGCAGCATATAACAACAATATAGTCACATGCTCTGTTCTACTATATTGCCGCAGAAGGCAAGTGATATACGATGGTTTGCTCCTCAATATGTTCTAGAATGTAGGGCTGCGGCTTACGGTGTAGACTTTGTGCTCAAGGCCCGGGGTCTCTGGTGTCGGTACCTGGACATGCACCACGAAGCCGACAGACCTGCCAAATCCCACATTTAAGCCTAAGCCAAATCTCAAGCATCCCGCAGTCTATACCCCTAGGCCCTAGGCTTTGGCCGCCAAGGGCCAAGCTCTTTGAGCCCGAAATCGTGGGATCCTGAGTTGAGCCCTAGACCCTAAACCCGAAACCCTGAACATCCCTGAACCCCCAAACCCGAAACCCAAAACCCTGAACTTCCCTGAACCCTCAACCCCAAAACCCCAAAACCCCGAAACCCTAAACTCAACCTATGTGAGGTTGAAGATCCAGCGACTCTGAAGCTTTAGACTGCGCGAAATCGGGTGCGATTTCGGGACCTCAGGTTGATGGGAGAATGTCGGAACCCCGAAAAAAGGGGCCTTAACAAGAATTAGAAGAGGGCTGTAAAGGGGCCTTAAAAAATACTTAGAATAGGGCTTTTGGGTATGTTATACTGTATAAGTCTAAGTATAGTAAGGAACAACCCCCCAAAATAATAGAGGTAACTACTATAAGGCCCCTATATATTACTTTTCAGAAACTCTGCTTCCAAGGGACGACCGCGGACTTTGGGTTGAAGGCGAGGCCCTCTACAAATTCGTGGTCCCCTGCTGCGACTGCATTCCTGACGAGGGGCGGCTTGGTTTGGGGTTTAGGGTCGAGGGGGGAGAAATTTGCACTTGATCATGATCCCTCTCGTTCCCCCCTATTTTGCTCCCTCGTTCATATCTTGAGCTGCTGTTCTTGATGGTATTTATAAGGTTTGCTTCCCCACCATATCCGCCGGACCACTCTGAACTTCCATCGCTACATTCTGACCCACCCTCTGTATCACTAAACCTTCAACTCTACATGCCAAAGCCCCGAAACAAAGCCTTGGAACCGAGGCTCTGCAGCTTCTCGCAGAGGGTGTCTCGATCTGCGCAGTGCGTCAGCTCTAGCTTCACGAAGGGCTTCGCCTGGGGCAGAAGCACTTTCGGCTTTGCTGCGAAGGTTTACACTTTGGGCACGACGAAGTGTGAACTGTGTGAACCGCTGCTGCTGCAATCTTTCAAGCCGTTTTACAGCAGGCGCCAAGAGCAGCACAACACTTCCACTTCTTCCAGAAGCATGGGAGTTTGCAAGCAGGCTCAAAGTCCCTTACTGTAATTAATTGGGGGCTAGCAAGATCGACATTATAAGTATGTTTCGCTGCCAGGCGACCGGAATGATGCGGAGCGTGGCCTCAGTTAAATTGCGTAGATTGCAGCCAGCTTTCTGCAACACTTCAGACCCCCTCTCTGAAACGCAAAACCGAGTGGCCGCAACTAGGATGCCGTGGGTGCCATGGCTCCACGGCAGCGTGTAAAACAGCTCCTTGTTCGGGACTTGCATTGGTCGGAGCGGTCTACACTATCTGCAGCTCACGAGCACTCTTGGCCTTGTCCCTTGACAGACCCGCGGCTCAACATTCTTAGGGTGTGGCAAAGTGCCACAGCTCCTCCGACATTCTGTCTGACTCCCCAGGTAGAGGGCTTTTTTGGCCTACAAGCAGAGATGCAAATTTTAGACTTTAGGGTTCTGTCACCCAGCCCTGTTCCCCCGAGAATGTCCTTGTCACTCTCCGGCGTGACATGAAGAACCTGGCACACGTCGCAACAGCGATAATGCAGGAACCTGGTTGAAAGCCCAGGTTCTCGCTGTCGGTCTTGACATGTTTGTATGTGTGAGTGTGTGTGTGTATATATATATGTATATGTATATGTATATGTATATGTATATGTATATGTATATGTATATGTATATGTATATATATATATGTGCGTGTGTGTGTGTGTGTCTATATATATATATAGAGAGAGTGAGAGAGGAGACAGATCCTGCTGCTTGGGGTCTTGAACAGCGGAGTTCTTACTTGTCAGTTCCTATATTGAGTTAGCTTAGGGCATCTGCACTCACATAAACACATGCCCAAAAAACCAGCCATGCCAGCCCGTGGTGCATGGCTTTCAAAACACAATACAAAGCAGCTTTCCAAACTTGAGATCATCATGTCCTGAACAGCGCTACCCCCAGAGTTCGCGCCTCGCCGGTGCAGCTGACAAGCTCGTAGGCATTGCCTCGGCCGGCCCACAACTCAGAAAGTTGCCGTGGTGCGTGGTGTACAGTAATTCTGTTGGGGATATTTTTGAGTTGCTTTGTCGCTCTGACAACATCTTCCGAAGAAGCAAGTTCCACTGCTGTGCGTCCACTGTGTTGCGCCCCGCATGTGTCCGAATTAGACAACGACACCAAACATCGGTAGCTTCATTCCTTGAAGACTAATCTCCAAGGCATAACTGTGGAGATGCTGTGGACCAGTTACTCGGTCGCAATTGACTTCCCGCTCTGCATGTCTTTCCTTTCTGTTTCAATCTGCACATGGCTAGAGGACGGCTAGGAACAGGCAAGCATTACCTCACACCGAAAAAAGCTAGCTTTGTTGCATGCAAAATACAGGAACCCTTTCCGATACAAGGGTTGACAACGACCCGGACACGAGCCTGTCAAAGACACAGGGCAGAGTATACCTCACCACTGCAATATTACAGCCGCAGCCGCGTCAGCATGTGTTGCAGTCATGAAATTCACTGCTGGTTCTATTTGCAGCGTTCTGCCTCGGCCCAAGGCCTAAACTCCTTATAAAACCCCTCAAGGAACCCCACTCTTTAAAGGAACTCTGCTTTTGCCTCAGCCCCATCCATAAACTCCGAAACCTTCAATCTCTTGCTGAGCAGCAGATCTCGTTGAACATCCCGTACTTCCACGAGGTCGACTCGATCCCGCAACCCATGAGAAGCCTCGGCGGCGAACAAGACTTAATGGAGGGGCCTTAATAGTTAGAGCAGGGTTTTGGGGTATGTTCTACTATACTTAAAATAAGGAACAACCCCCCAAAAATTTAGAGGTCACTATTGACCCCTATATTAGCGGGTTATATGAAGGCTTTGCAGAGGATCAAGAAGGTTTCATGGGGGTTTGTATGGTGCGCTTGATGTAGGCTTCGTCTAGGGGTGTGGGTGGAGGCAGAATCCGTTGCTGACTGCTGTTCGTGCTTGTGCTGCTTCCATTATTGGCAGCGCTATTATTATGTTATCTTGAGAAGTGTGGCTGCCGTCTGTGGTGCTGTTGGCATTCTTGTCATTAGCATCCAAATTCTTGTCGATACTGCTACTCCTACGTAGAAGAGGAGAGGTATCAGTGCAAACATTCTGCGGTTTCGACCCTCGAACCGCAAGGGCCCGGTGCCCTGACCCGTACAGCACTGCACAGTGTGAAAACCGAACAAAACAGCAAACATCAAGTGCCGAAAGTACCAGTTACCAGTTCCTCCCATTCCTCTTCCCTCACTGTTGCCGTCTCCGGTATTACCACTATGACTACCTTCGTTATTCCTGAGAAATGACAGTCAAGCTGATCAACATGACACGAGTGACAAGCACAAGAGCAATGATGAAAACCATTGTCACCACGCGCATCATCTTCATCATCATCTCCACCATAACGATACACGCTTGGAGGAACTACTAGTAAGGGTTTGCCACAGGCATGATTCCGCAACACCAAGGACTTCCATGTCTCTGCCCGTACGCGAACGAACTGCACAACAAGACAAACAACGACCCATGCATAGACAATCGTACACTCATGTAAATATGTATGTGCATCCATAGACAGCTGGTTGTGCACAACGAAGCATGAGGAACTTCCGGAATGCTGTCTGTCTGATATGTGCCCCTGCGTAACCATTCATTGCTGTTAGTACTACCTTCAAGTGTGATAGCGGCTGCCGCGGCTGCTAGGAGCGCGAACAGTGCTGCCGCTACTGCTGCTGCTGGCTGCGACAAGCAGGACTGTGAACGAAGCTCCCAAGCAACCCAGAACCCTAAACCCTAAACATCCCTAAACCCTATAAATTAGATTTGCAGAGCCACCCGCCAACTGTCAGGTCATCGAGCTCTGGTACGCAAGGGACGGTATAGCCTTGCCTGCACTTTTTGCCGGAATCCTATAGTCTCCTTTGTAGTTCCTTTTTTCGGGTAGCTACGGTATAGGATCCTCAAAAGGAGCTGCAAAGGAGTCTGTAGGATCATATTAAAACAACATGCACCCAGAGGTCCAGGGTCAGTTCTGAGGAGGGCTCTGGTTTTTGAAGCCTTTCGTGTATCCGCCTGTTCCACTAACCATTCTGGACTCCAAGACTGTCTGCTTTGACCTGGAACCCGAGATGGCCAATGGGCAACGGACTCGCTTCCTGATTGCATAGTTCGATTCGCGTAGTCCGTCGGATTTGCGGCACGCTGATGCTCGTTTTCAGCATCTGAACCTCTTTGCCGGACTAGTTCAACCCGTGCGGAATTGCTTTCAGTATGCTGGCGGCGAAATCTGGAACAAGATGCATGCTGACAAAAACACAGTCCAACAAAACTTCCTCCCAGACTCTTTTGGACCCCGTGAGCGCCTGAGGAGGTAGTGGGACAGCTCCACCATTCGCAGGCGCGGCTCCACGTAGACAACCCCTTTCTCGGTGTCAACCTGCGCTTTTAGGCCGGCAGTTTGGTTTAGGGAACATGGGGTTTGTAGGGTTTCAGGGTCAGGGTTTCAGGTTCATGAGGGCCTGGGGTTCAGGTTTGGGATTGCGGCTTCAACCTTGATTCCTGAATTCAAAAAAAAATACTAAACGCCACACTGGATCCCCACAAGCCCTCAACCCCCCCCCCCCG